GTTTCTAGTTTGTTCTTATTGTAAGAAGAGAAGCCATTCTGAAGCTTATTGCTAGTTTAGACTTAAGGTCAAATGTAATGCATGTAAGCAATTAGGACATGTAGAAAAATCCTACAAGAAGAAAGCTAAGGTTGTAGATAAAAAATCCCAGATTGCAAAACAAGTCGAGAAAACTGAAGTTGCAAAAGAAGTCTTGTTCATGGCTATTAAAGATTCTAACTCAATAGATAAAAAACAGTGGCTTCTTAACAATGCACATTCTAATCATATGACTTCAAAGGTTGAGTTATTCTCTAAACTTGATACTGATCACTGTTCTTCAGTTAAAATTGGAAATGGCTTTATACTGGATTCTATAGGGAAAGGAACAGTTGCAATCCAAACTGCTTCAGGCACCAAGTATGTTCTAAATATGCTTCTGGTTTTAAAATAACTCAAAATTTATTATGTGTCGGTCAATTAATTGATGATGATTATATGCTGGTATTCAAAAATAATGCCTGCACAGTTTATGAACCTTTTGGTGTCTATATGATGTTTGTTCCTATGGTCAGAAACTATTTTCCTATTAAATGGGGCAATATGTGTTTGTCTAAAATAGAATCTTCATCAAAACAAACCTATTTATGGCACAAAAAGCTAGGCCATTGCAATTATAAGTCTTTACTGCAAGCAAATGCCTCTGGTTTGTTGTTGGATCTTCCTAAATTGCATGGAAATGGTCCTATATACAGTTCCTATCAGTATGGTAAGTTGACTATAAAGTTTTTTCCCAAGTTAAGTTTGAATAAAGTAGAAAACAGATCAGACTTAGTTCGTTCTGATGGTGCTGGACCTATGGTAAGCCCTCTCTAAACGAAAGCAAATATTTTGTTATTTTTATTGATGATATGTCTAGAATGACCTAGATTTATTTGATATAGCATAAGTCAGAAGTGTTTTCAATGTTTCAAAAATTCAAAGCTAGAGTTGAGAATAAATTTGGTTGCGAGATCAAGGCACTAAAGACAGATAATGGAGGATAATATACTTCTTCAAAGTTCACAAGCTATACAGAGAATGAGGGTATTCGTCATCAATTAACAGCTATATATTGTCCTAAACAGAATGGTGTCAATAAAAGGAAGAACAGAACAATTGTTGAGATGTTCAGGTGCCTTTAATTTGAAAAGATGCTTCCTAAAAGCTTCTGGGCTGAAGCAGCTAGCACTGCAGTCTATCTGAAGAATATCTTGATCACTTAAGCTATGAATAATAAACTCCTTATGAAGCTTGGCATAACATCAGGCCTTTTGTGGATCATTCGAGGATCTTTGGATCCATTTGTTATCTTCATGTTCCTGAAGAACTTAAAGATAAGCTATAGCCCAAGGTAAAGATGGGAATTTTTATTGGTTACAGTCAACAATGTAAAGTTACAAAGTTTATCAAATTGAGTCTACTCAAGTCTTTGTTAGCAAACTTGTAGCATTTGATGAAAGAGCATACTGGAACTGAGAGCAAAATCAAGTGCAGTATACTAGAATTTTAGGTGAAGATGTTGATCTTCAACCTGTAAGCAATGATAAGATGTTTGATACAAAATAGATTGTATATGAACTTCTTGTGAAAGGTACCCAACTGTTACAGGAGATTTATGAAAGCTATAATGTAGCAGTATCTGAGCTTGCTACACCTACTGTTATGTTACCAGAATGGAAGAAGCTATGAAAGAGGAAGTGAAGATGATAAATCTCAACAAGACATAGAGCTCAGTAGATAAGCCTAAGCATTATCATGTTCATAGAGTGAAATGGGTGTTTAGAAAGAAATTGAACTCTGATGGTTTTTTCAACAACCATAAAGCAAGGTTGGTTGTCAAAGGCTTTGCTCAATTACCTGATGTAGACTATCATGAAACATTTGCATCAGTTGCTAGCATGGATACCATTCGATTGCAAATAGCATTGTCAGCTAAGTTTAAATGGAAAATATTCCATTTAGACATTAAATCTGCTTTCTTAAATGGTGATTTGCAGGAAGCAATTTCCATCAAGCACCCTTATGGTTTTGAAATTGAGCCTAATAGAGACAAGGAATACAAACTTCATAAGGCTGTTTATGTTTTGAAGCAGGCGCCACGTGCTTGGTACTGCAAGTTTGATGACTATCTAAAGAGTCAAGGATTTCAAAAGAGCAGTAATGAAGCTACCTTGTATATACAGAAAACTAGTGATTAAAATCCTTTGATTATCTCATTATATATTGATGACATGTTAGTTACAGGAGGAGATGATCAAAGAATTGCAAAACTCAAATTTGAAATGCAAAACAGATTCAGAATGACTGATCTTGGATGGATGAGCTATTTTCTAGGATTACAGATTCTTTAAGGCAATACAGGAATTTATATATTTCAATCAAATTACATGGGTGAAGTTCTGGACAAGTTTAAAATGTTAGGTTACAAGATTGTAGGAACTCCACTTGTTACTCATGAGAAGCTGTCAGTTGATAAGGTATTTGTACTTGAAAATCCTTCAGCATTTAGAAGCTTGATAGGATCATTGCGTTAAATTTGTGCTTCAAGGCCAGACTTGATGTTTGCTGTGAATTATCTGTCTAGATTCATGCAAATTCCTACCACTAAACATTTTTCAACAGCTAAAAGAGTGTTTAGATATTTAAGAGGAACTGTTAATCTTAGTCTTCAATTCACTTATTTTGATGCAAAGTCAGTTAAGTTAGTTGGTTTCTCAGATAGTGACTGGGCAGGATGTGTGGATGATTGCAAAAGTACTTCTGGATATATGTTTACACTCGGAAATGGTGTCTTTGTTGGAATTCAAAAAAGCAAGAGACTACTACTCAATCCTCTGCATAAGCAGAGTATATAACAGCAGCTACACCTGCAAATCAAGACATCTGGGTGAAGAAAATTTTAACTGATCTTGGTTTTCTTCATGTGCCTCCAATCAAGTTGTATGTGGACAACAAGTTTGCTATTGCTATGGTGAAAAATCCTGTTTTTCATAGCAAAACAAAACATATCAAGGTCAAATACCATGCCTTGAGGGAAGCTGAAAAGAATCCAGAAATCTCCATTCAGCATTGTAGTTCCAGTGATCAACTTGTAGACATTCTAACTAAATCTCTGCACTTGTCCAGGTTTGAAGAACTAAGAAGCAAATGAAATGTTCATCAAGTTAGTGTTTAGGAGGAGTGTTGAGATAAAAATTAACTTGAGTGTTATTTTTGTTTAACTAAGTATTGGACAGGTGTCCATTTTGCTTTGTTGTATGGGTTTGATAAGCTAGAGTGCTTGTTGCTGCTACATGTCCTTTGAACGTGTGAGCATTGCATGCTTACCTTAATGTTATGTTAAACACTTAGTGATTTTGTACCAGTGTTAATCATGCATCTCATGTGCATATTTATTTATCTTTCTTCAGTTAATTTGATAATTGATATTAACAAAGTTGCTCTGTTTTTCATTGTCTTTACTTTCTTTTCTGCATGCTTGATACTTCTGTTGTGAAATTAACAATAAACGGAAACTGATAGTTAAGGCCTTTCTCCCACTTTTCACAAGCTAGCTAATTGATCAGACATAAACGTGCATTCTCTCTCTTTGTATAGCCCTGAAAACAAATTGCATCTTGACGCGAAGCTGCGACTAGAACTTTCATGTATAGTCCCCGTACTCGAAGAGTTGTTCATTTCTTTTGTCTCAGATAGATGGCGGCAACGACTACAATGGCAATAGGAAGGGCAACAAGCGATTGGAAGCTGGTCCTGACACCCCATGCTGCAAAAACCATAACCTGCTGCTTCTTCGCCATATTCTCCGCTCTCTTTCCTTGTGCATCTGATGAGTTGGCTCCCTCATCTCTCTGTTTCGTCTTTTCGAAGTCAATTTCCAGGGATTGATAGGAATCAATTTTCACAATTTATTGTTTTGCCTTGGATTAGGACAACTGGAAGTTCAGATATCCGATGGTTTGCTGAAAGCAATAGACAGGACTTGTAGCGGTTGGGTGTTCCTTGCTTTGTTTTACCAAAACACCCATACTTCCAATTCCAAACAAGCTTACTAGATTTTCGTTAATGCTACAGTCAGAAGACAATGTCCATTGACGTGTTGGCAATTCGAGAAAAGAGCAACTCGGGATGCTAATGACTGAATCATACAGATTTTTCCATTCTTGTGGTTGAAGCTGAGTTGTTAGTCCAATAAATTTATGCAATTTAGGTTAGAGTTATTCCCTCTTCTCCCATCCGTTGTTACATATCAATTACCAAGCATTTGTACAGAGAGGTCACGCTATAAATTTTTGGAAGGGACTACAATGAAAATTCTCCATCATATGCTAGACAAATCAAGCATGACGACCAAGAATTGGAAAGCATAGGGAAGACCAAGTCCCCGGCCGGCAACCGATTGTGGTTTTGGGATTGATAAGAATTAATTTGGAAAAAATAGACAAAATTTTTTAAATTATAAATACTAAAGAGATTATAAAAATTATCAACCGAAAATCTTAAAAAAAATTTTCTAACGAAAATATGAAAAGATATTGAGTTATATATTATTGAATTAATAATTAGACCAAGAGGCTGTTTATTATCATCAACTCAAAACCTTTAAGTCTATTGTATGCAACTGTAAGATAAATGGTGAATTAAACTTGTATATATACTTGGATTTCATTGACTATATCAAAATTTCCCAGCTGACAAAACAATTTAAGATCAACAGTTAAATGTAAAACTAAATTAAGTTTTGAAAATGTTTTTCAAAAGTGAAATTTGAATATTTAGCTTAAATTAAAAAAAAAAAAGTCAACAATACTTAACCGGGTCATAATTTCTATTCATAAATAATAAAATTAAAATTGGCCTTTTTCTTTAAATAATAAAAAGAACAAAGTGAATGATAGTGTTGATATGGATAATTTGACAAAACCAATACTACTTTTGATAAGGGCCTCCTACTTCCCACCAAACCCGACAATAATTGTTAACATATATGAACAAAGAAGAAACAAACAAGGAACAAGAGTTGCTGCTCGGATTGAAAAATGGCCTGGATTCTACTTTATCTGTGAAGCTGGTGAAGTGGAATCAAAGCATGGATTGCTGTTCTTGGGATGGTGTAAGCTGCGATGCAGGTGGTCATGTTATCGAACTACTCAATCTCCGGTGTGATTAACAATTCAAGCAGCCTCTTCGGTCTTCTGTGTCTCCAGAGTCCAAATTTGGCATATAACAGATTCAACTCCACAATTCCTTCTGGGCTTGATGAGCTCGCGGATTCGAGTTACCTCAATTTGTCAAATGCTGGCTTCAGTGGTCAAATACCTGTAGCGATTTCACGAATGACAAGGTTGGTTACTCTTGATTTATCTACGCTAAACTTCCCTAGAGACGTTCCATTGAAGCTTGAAAACCCAAATCTACGAATGCTTGCTCAAAATCTGAGAAAGCTAGAAGAACTTTACGTTGATGGCGTGAAGGTATCAGCGCAGGGCAAAAAGTGGTGCCAGGCCATATCTGCTTCATTAAGTGAATTGCAAGTGTTGTGCATGTCCAAATTTGAAGGGCCAATACCAAATGTGATCGGTGAATTCAAAGCACTCTATGCTCTGGACTTGTCACACAATGCTTTCACGGGCGGGCGCAATCCCACCATCACTAGGAAAGTTGCAACAGCTGGAATCCTTGGACCTCTCAAGTAATAACCTGTTTGGCAGTATTCCTCAACAGCTGGCAAAACTAAATTTCCTTGCATTCCTTAACATCTCAAAAGGTAATCAGTTTCAGTGGCTTTCAGATGATTCATTTGATAACAATGGGGGATTCTGTGGACCACCTTTAGAGGCAAAATGTCTATCCCCAGACAGCCCTCCCCTTCAGATTCTGAAACTGGGAAGCAGATCGACCACAGCTGAGACAGGGAGCGATATTGATTGGAATTTTATAAGTGCTGAGATAGGGTTTTTCTTTGGGTTAGGAATTGTCATTGCACCCCTTATCTTTTGGAAGAGATGGAGGATATGGTAGTATAAGCACATTGATCGTGCTCTTTTCAGGCTTTTCCCTCGGCTGGAGAGCTCACCGGAGTCAGAGGAAGAGGCTCCAGCAACGATGGAAAGGAGCAGGGAATCAATGAAAAGATTTTTAGCTACTTCCTTTGTTGTCTTTTCCTGTTTTTGGTTCTTTTTTTTTTCAATTCTTTTGAATAAAACAAATTAAATTATCTTAAAAATAGAAAATGAAGGGGAACATTCTCTTCTCAAGTTAACATTCTTTCAGTTTTAATGCAAATTGAAAACGTTTTCACTTCTCTAGCTGATCATCCTTGCTTGATAACATTAATATCCAAAGGCTCATCAGGACAACATTAATATCCAGAATGATACCTGTGATAGAAACAAAACATTAATCTAACACATACCTGATCATAATTCAATTTCACTTGTCCCTATCTGGGTTGGAGGTTTACCAAATAATAAAAATGATTGCTGACTCCAACCACTTAGATTGGACCATGCACCAGAATCTCGGCTCCCTCTTATGAAAATTGAGATCGTTTTGCCTTATGTCAAATCCAAAATAAACTGCAGTCATAGCACCTAGAATCTGAAGATGAAACTTTTGCTTAAAACATTTTATCAGTAATTCATAATAAAGATTTTTCCTCAACTTGATATGGGAAGAAGGGCTAATGGAGTTCGCAAGGGAAACTAGAGTAATTCAAGTCTTTCCTGATGTGATAAAAAGCAATGTCATGGCTCAATATCAATGTGCTTCTATGGAATCTATTCGATAGATAGCCTAGCAATTTTCTTCTGCTGTCATTCAAGTCTTGCAGATTGCAGCAATCGGTGCCATAATCATGGTGTATACATGTACACTACAACGAGGGTACAATTCCTTTCATGCCTTCAAACACTTATTAAAAACCTTTTCCAAATTCCTAACTGGTAAAAAATTAAAGATATATAGTTGATTAAGGATTTAATTGAATTCAATAATCCAAAAAATGCTTAATTCTTTAATTTGAAATATTTCAGAGCCCTTTTCTTCAGTTTAATCTCTTTGTAATCATATAGTATTTGGTTTAATAGTTTATGCATGATTTTTTTAGTCAAAGTACCAAGTTCGAATTTCGCTTTTTCTCTAATTTTTTTTAAATAAAAAGTTGTGAAATATAATTGATTAAATTTAACACATACGTGAATTAAACAAATATAATTGATTTTGATTTTAAACTTTTATTTTTGGTAACCAAATTTTTTATATAAAATATTTATAGGTCATAAATATAGCTTATATGTTTATATAACGATAACATTTATGTTATAAGTATTTATTTACAAACTATAATAGGATTAAATTTCCTTTTGTTATTGTTGAGTTTGAAGTTTACTAAAATTCTAAATCTTAATTTTTACTTACACTGTACTGTTATTCAATTACTGTACACATCATTACTATTTCTCCTTTATATTTGTTGAGTATCAATAATACTTCTTTGTCCATTCTCTGTTAATACAGAAAACTTGCATAACAAGATTCTTGCAATTTCTCAAGATAATGGTAATTACGTGTGGGGAATGCTGGGAGTGGGCGAGAGTGTACATAAACTACTGTATTTGCAGCGCAAGAGATGAAGGGTCTTTTGCTTTGGGTTTGATCAGTATCATAAGTTGGACCGTGGCTGAAATCCCTCAGATTATCACCAACTATAAGCAGAAGTCCGTTGAGGGACTTTCCCTTGGTTTCTTGATCACTTGGATTGTTGGGTGAGAATTTCTTTCTTTTCTCACCTCCATATTATTTAGCGGAAGGATTTTATTACCATTCTGTTTCCATTTTGTTTCTTGCTTATGCACTTGCAGGGATCTTTTCAATCTTTTCGGTTGTATTCTTGAACCAGCTACGGTAAGTGCTTTGCTCGTTTCCTGTATATATATGGTGATTGGGTGATTGTTACTTGTTTTCTGTGTTTGTTTCTGTTCCCGTATCAGACCGGTGCAACTTTTTCGCTGTCCAGCGTACAAACATGCATCTATTCATTGCTAAAAGATAGATCACATTAGGAGAGAATGATTTTTTTATTAGGGACACTTTGTCCTCTTGCTTTCTAAAATATTAAGAATAAATCTTCATGGGGCTCTTGTCTAGTTTGAAAGAAATAATTATTTTGATTTCCTATGGGAATTAGTATTGCAGCCAGTGAACTGAAACTTTATTGCTTCCCTTTGCAGCTTCCGACGCAATACTATATGGCAGTTGTAAGAATATACTAAACCCAAAATGTTGTTAGTCTAGTCAATTCTTAATAAGTATATTGTTCTAACTCTCAATTATTGATTTACATGACCTTCGTCAAAGCACAGTTGTATGCAATGACTAGCTCAATTCTTTCGGCACAGAGTGTGTACTATGGTCACATTTATCCTCGATTAAAGTTCAAAGGAGTGCGCCACAAGGTAAGAAGTTTAGCTACATTTCTCTTAGAAAAGTTTAGGCAACAATTTTGTACATTACAAATTCATCTCTGCTTGGAGTCTAATTGCATAACTCAATGGTCAAGTTAAAGCTCTGCACTCCCGAAACCAGTGAACCTAGTAGAGAAAGGAAATAGACTATTTTGTTAAATGGTGAGCAGGAGAGAAAAATGTTTAGTTTTTCATTAAACCAAGACTAGCTTGTATGGTATTTTATGTTGTATATTTAAATGATATAAATCTTTGGATTGGATTTATTTAAAAGGTCAACAAAAATATGAATTGGGAAAGGAGACGCAAATCCATTGTGTTTTTCATGTTACTTCAGAAGAGTATATGGTATCTTATGGAATTATGTGTATTGTGATGATCATGCAAATACATGAAACAGATACTTGGTCATCTTGATATGGATTTGGTAAACTTGATTTCTCAAAAATTCGATTTCAGTTGAGTTGTAGTTTTAACAATTATGTAGAATTGGTTCTGTCAGCTCTTAATAAAATAGATTTGATTGCTTTACCAAGGGATGAATCATTAGGGGCTAATTGTTCTCAGTTTTATATTTAATAATCAATAAGGATGGAAATTAATAGTACCTCAGTTTATTGGAAGCCCATACACAAGGAAGTGAAAAGGGAATAAATGTAAATAAGCTACATAACCATTTGTATCAGAACAACAATGAATCAATAGATCATCTTTTACCTAATTGTCCAACAGCTTAAAAATTATGGTCTCCAGTTTTTGCTTTGTTCGTAGTGGCTTGGCCACTTGGGTGATTCCAGATATAGTGGTTGATTTATTACATGCTTGGAATATGGGTTTCAGAAAACGCACATATTGGGAGGGCTGTAGATTTTAGTGTCATTAGCTCTAATGTGAAGAAAAAAAGCTTGATATGCAGAAGTTGGAATTGCATTTCTAGGATATTAACTTATTATCACTGACATTCTATTTGGACATTCGAGTTGTATTTAAACTTTCTTTCTAATCTCTTGTTTCATTATGTGCTGCTTTTGCACTTAGTATGTTCCATTTTGCTGTTAATAAATTCTAAGCATACCAGGAAAAGAACTTTCAAATTTTTGTGGTCGGAGGTCTTAAGTTGAGAGATCAAGTCTATGTAACTTTTTAGGTACCTGATATGTGGTCATGGAACAATCTCAATGTATCTAACCATGATATGCTATGGAATCTTCATGATATTCGCTCAGTTCTTTTCTCCATACTTGTATTTAGTTTTCCCGCAGTGGAGATCAACACAAATATAACCTTCTGAAAGCATTGCAGGAGTACTAAGCATCTTCACTGGTCTTTGATGGTCGCTTTTTTTTCTATGAAGGTTTTTATTTTGTTTTCATATATGTATCATGCAACAAAATTCCACAATTCACTGTGTTTCATATGTAGGGCTCCAAAGAGGACCAACCTGAGGCAGTGGAAAGAGTTGGTAAAGAGATTAACAATTTTGATGTGAAACAAGTTGTTGATGCTGACAGACTAAGTTCTCCTATTCCTCTTCCAGCAATAAATTTAAAGAGTTCTCCGGGCAAAGAATTTTACTACATGTAATTCCATATTCACCTTTAAGCTCTCACATTTTCACTATTTTGCTTTACTTTTTGGACCTTACACCTCAACAACCTTTGTACATGAGAAACACAAACAACATGATTTATTTTCCTTTCTTTTCTTTTTTTTGAAGTTTGCATCTGGATTCTGTTATTTTTTGGAATATTTGGTTCACTGAACTTAGAATTGGTTCTGCCATCCAAGTTAAAAGATCAAATTTCCATATATACCTCCTGGATTGTCATTTAGTTAAGCATATGTCATAGACTTAGAATTGGTTTACCCACTACCCTGACTACATGTACACTTTCAAAGACATATTTCTGTATGTCACATTTTGGTTGTTCAACAAAATTTTGGGACATTTAGGAAGAAAGAGTAACTGATAGATGCTGATGCAGACACAAAGATAGACTTAGAGCAAGTTTTCTCATACTTTTTGAGATCCTGAAAGAAGGTTAGAAACCAAGTTTTCAGTGACCAGTAGGACATATAATGAATCAAACTACTTCAAGATATATGTCATGCTGAAAGATGGAGGTCACAGAAAACCATATGCATATTTTGGTATGCCCTTCTGAATGATGCATAAAGTGATGATATAATTGTTCAGTTTGGTTTTTTATATTATGTTAGGTCAGCAAGATCTCTATCAACTAGTCATACTCCCACAGAAGGATGCTTCCTTGCACAAAGAATGACGACTCCTTTTCATACAAGAAATTCAGTTGAAGAGCCATTGCTCGGTGCACTTGTTTCTACCCAGACTGCCTCTCCTCCAAGCACCAAAACATTGCTATGCTTGGTGACTATTAATTAACTTGAAGAACTAGCATCCTATTCTATTTTAAAAAGAATGTAATATATGAATTAACTTTTCTCTGTTTCAGGTATCTGTATTAATGTTCATTGCCACATTTAATTTCAAGCTCTCAGCATTTAATAAACTTCACGTAGAGCCTGAGATAATAAATCAAGGATTCGTGATACAAATAGGAAGAAAGCTTCTCCAGGTACTTCAACCTGCTATTAGTTTCCTCTCTATGTGCATAATCATTTGCTGGAACAGCACACTTATATGTATAGACTGATATTAAAGCATTATAGAGTTTCTCCTAAGCCTCCTCTATCCAACATGTTTGTTAACCTTAATTTATTTATTTTTTTATGAGCATTACCTATTTTATTTGACTTCCTGTTTCAGCATGTCAAAAATTTGGAATTCACCTCCTTGTGGATAAGCATGTAAATTGGATGCCACCATGTTTTAGGGAATGTGAAAGCTCTTGAATGCCTATTGGCTCCATAGCTCTTACTTTTTATGCCCTTTTGCTTCAACTAGGTTGAACTCATTGTGATATTTTAAATTTAACTTTGCCGAAGAGGGATAGGCATCACCAAACATTTACTGGGATTTCAGGTAAATGCTACGTCATTAGGAGAAAGCGGTATTGGAGGAGGCAGCAGGGTTGGAACTTTTCTTGGTTGGGCAATGGCAGCTATTTACATGGGTGGACGCCTTCCCCAAATTTGCTTAAATGTAAGTTTTGTAGGAACCGAATGAGTAGTGTGTTTTAGCTGTTTCACATAAAAAGATGAAAGTGTTTAAATTGCTATATGTTCCTCTATTTTTACTTGATTGCTCATGTCCCTTTGAACTTTCAATTTTAAATTTCTAATCCTTCAACTTCTTAGTAACTATAGGGTTAGACTGGACCTCTATTAGATGTGTATAAGTATGGTTCTTATACATTTGTAACCTGGGGCAAGCTAGCATTATATGTAAGACTTCCCCTCCTTGCCACACCAAGTAGTCTAAGCACAGCTCCTCTGCTTACTACCTGCTGATCCTAAAATGTAATATAGCAAAGGATATCAGGATTAGAATTTTAGAGCTTTAGATAAAACGGGATCTAATACCATGATACTCAACCATTAGACCTAAATGCTTAAGCTAGTAGATCGGGGCCAAACTAATGGTATTTCTGTTAGAGGATTAAAATATCTCTTTCTAGTTGTCACAAGGTTTGTGATACAACGTGATTTTTTCACAAAGCATATGTTTAATAGAAGAATTATTGTACTTTTGACTAGTGGAGGAAGGATTGCCTTGGTATCTATCCTTGATTTGTCCAAAATCATGAAATTTTTGGGCAACATTTTGTTTTAAGCAGACAAATTGAATATCATGTATTTGAGTTGAACTTAATGTAGTTTTCCTGTTCAACTTTGC